GAGAGCATTTACAAAAACTGGCCCCAATCCTTTTACTCTCTGTATCTATGCACCTTTGTAATGTGACTTTGTAGGTCTTTGCATCAAGAGGTAGTTTATCCCCCCACCCTCTGATCTGGGCTTGTTTTGACCAGTAGAAGGCAGTGGAATTAACATGCCTGCTCCAAGCACAGACTTCAAGAGAATTTGTGTTTATCTTTACCTCCTGGAACCTGATCTTGCCACATGAATTAGTCCAGGCCAACTTACTGGATGGGGCTTCCCTGGTGGCTCAGATGGTAAAGAATCTATCTGCAATGCAGGAGACCCGGCTTTGCTGCTTGGGTTGGGAAGATCCCTTGAAGAGAATGGCTACCCACTGCAGTATTCTTGCCTGGAGAATTCCATGGACAGAGGAGCCTGGGGGGCTGCAGCCCATGGGGCTATATAGAGTTGGACCCAACTGAACAACTTTCACTTGCACAACCTTTTGGATAATAAGGTAAGTAGCCTAGTCAGCGCCACTGCCCCAGCCAACACAGAGATGCAGAGCTGCCTACCTGATCTGATGCACGTGGAGCCCCTGTGGAACCACGACCATGTGGAGTAGGGAAGAATCAACCAGCTGAGCCCAGCTCAAACTGCCAGTCAACACAACTGTGAGCTAAATAAATGACTCTTGTTTTAAGCCACAAAGTTCTGGGGTGGTTTATTTCACAACAAAACTTAATTGACACAGATGAGCAAAATCAAATCCACACACTCATCATAATAAAGTTGCAGAAAATTAAAGACAAAATCTTACAGCTAAGTGCTAATATAATTTAGAAGAGAAATAGTTTTCTAATGAGGTTGATCTGTAAGCATTTTAAATATCTGAACTTAGTGTTAAGTGGGAAAGCGTGGGAGAAGATATCCTAGGCAAAAAAAAAAAAAAAAATACAATATCTGAAATGCTGTCCAGTTTGCTGAAAATATAAAACCAAAAGGTAGATGTGTTTTGAGTTAAGGGCTATGAGCCAAGCAGACAGACTGTATTCTGGCTTTGTCACTAGCTATGTGACCTCGGAGCAACGGATTTCACCTGTTTTCTCATATGTAATGTAAATAATAAGTGGGACTTCCCTGGTGACTCAGATGGTACAGAATCTGTCTGCAATGCAGGTGACCTGGGTTCAATTCCCTTGGTCGGGAAGACCCCCCCAGAGAAGGGAATGGCTACCCACTCTAGTATTCTTGCCTGGAGAATTTCAAGGACAGAGGGGCCTGGCGGGCTGCAGTCCATGGGCCACAGAGAGTCAGACACGACTGAGCAACTACCACCACCATCACCCATGTAAATAATATCACTTACTGTTTAAGATTAAAATGTAATTAAAGTTATGCTTGGCATATGGTACACACTAGATTTTACAGAATGCCTCTCTTCAGATGTGAACCACTGAAACTTGTATGTGGGAATAACAAAGAACCAGAGAATCTGCATTAGAAGGGGTCACTGAAGCTATGTAACCTGCCTCTGGGTATATGTGTGTATAGTGTATGTAATGCGTGTGTTATGTAATGCGTGTGTGTGTAATCTGACCTCAGGGGTGTGGGGGGGTGTGTGTGTGTCCTCCGGGCTTCAGTGATGGCCCAGACGGTACAGAATCTGCCGCCTGCAATGCAGGAAACCCGAGTTCGACACCTGGGTTGGGAAGATCCCCTGGAGAAGGAAATGGCAGCCCACACTAGTATTCTTGCCTGGAGAACGGACGGGCAAGTCCTCTGTCACAGAGGACTCTGGTGGGCTACAGTGCACAGGGTCGCAGAGAGTTGGACATGACTGAGCGTATTTTTTGACAATCTGTTCTACTGTATTATCAGAAAGCTCTGATCCAAAATCTCCCTCAGTGAGGTAGAAAAGTCTATTTTCTTTCCTGCAAAACAACCTTTTTTATAGTCATGGGCAACTAAAAGATCTCCCATTCTCTTCTTTCTCCACGTTAACAGTTTTTTTGTAAAATGAAGTGTTTAGATTTCAAAGGTGGAATATCTTCCTCTGGGTACCCTCCATCCCACAGAACTGGGGGTGGGGTGGGCAGGGTCATATCTGTATAGCACTAAGCAAAGACCTTTAATCTATGACCTCAAACCTGCCCTCAAAGAAGTAACAATCTAGCTGGAAAAGCAGAGAAGTAAAAAGACAAAACAGTGAAGTGCTATTCTAGAGGTAAACACAGCATGCCACTGGGCAGAAGAAGAGCAAATAACTGAATCCTCGACGTGATGACGGTTGTTCCAAGAAGGCTTTATGGAAGAAATAACATCTGAACTGAATTCTGAAGAACCACATAGGTTTTAGCCAAGCAAATAAGCTAGCACAACAAATGCCCTCTCTCAAGGGTTTTCTCTTCTTCTGAAACATATATAAGATAATCATCTCATATGTACAAAAGCAGTGTTATTTAATTGGCAAAATTGTTTCTCATATGGCTGATTTCTTATATCAATTTTAAACTGCTATATTATTTCACAGTTATGCGAAAGTATTTCTAATTGAAGTTTTGACAAGAAAAGCACTGAAGTCTGGCAGGTTAAAAACTAGCTTTTTAGAATAGAGAAATCTGGTTTCAAGTATAAACTCTACACCTTTCCAGCTATTCACTGAGTCAAGCAATATTTACTGAATAACTACTCAAAGATATTCTGTAAATTGCTGGTAACACAGCAAGATTTCAAAAAATAATTTATTCCATTATTTCTTAATACGGACTCCTTTGTTGCATGCATGCTAAGTCGCTTCAGTCGGAACCGACTCTGTGTGACCCCATGGACAGCAGCCCACCAGGCCCCTCTGTCCATGGGATTTCCCAGGCAAGAATACCAGAGTGGGTTACCATTTCCTTCTCCACCTTTGTTACTCAGCTCCTAATACAAACCCTAAAACCACTGGTATAAGAGTATTTCTCTCATAGAGCATGTAGCTGGCAGAACTGTTTTCTTGTGAAAATAAATATGACACGTTCTTGCCTAGACAGGACCAGATATGTACTTACAAGCAAGGCCAAGACTTTCCTTAAGAAACACTGGCTATCAGTTATCAAGTACTTTATTCCATTTAATCTTCACAATAATCCGTATACTAGACTCTTACAATAATGGCAACCAATTACTGCCTCCCCCTAACCATGCCCCTCTGCAATGTAACCTGGCCACTCTTCCCATAGAGGTAGATTGCATTTCCTCTAGCCTTGAATCCAGCCTGGTCTTCTTACTCTGACCAGTGCTTGAGACCTGATGTTGTGAGACTTCCAAGGGTGGCCTTAAGAGGGCTTGCCAGCTGTTTCTTTCACCCCACTGGAACCTTCCTAAGGCCCTGAACGAGAGACAGTGTGCAGAAAGAGAGACCCAGCCAACAGCCACACATGTATGCATGAGTGGGCCCAGACAAGACCAGCAAAACGACCTAGTTGATCTAAAGCATATTGAGAAATTATACTTCTTTTACACCACTAAGTTTTTGATTTGTTACAGAGCAGTAAATAACTGACGTACCCAGTAAGGTAGATACTATTGTTTATCTGCAATTCAGAGCTGAGGAAGTAAATGCTTAGCTTACGTTTCAGAATTCTGCAAATACGTGAAAACTGTTATCTCTTCTGATAACTAACACACTTATCTTTTTTTTAACAAAATAAAAAGGAAAGCAAACATGGAAAAAATACAAGCAAGTTTTACTTTCATCCAAATCTATCAAAATTACATGCAAAAAGAATTAAGCAGTGAGACATATTCAATTTATTTCCAACCCAGGGATTAAGTCAATATGTACTTACCAGCTTCTTAATAATAGTAAGGAGAACAATCCTGTGGCTCTTTCTAAGTGCCAGGTACTGTTCTAGGTGCATATACACACTCTATTCATTTTGTCCTCAGACAGATTATCTTATAATTATCCCATCTTCCTGAGAGGGAAATTGCCCCACAAAGTAGTTAAGCCCAAGAGTACTGCTAAATTTCCCACTGATATACTGGATTACGCTTACTAGCAGACAAAACGCATTACAGCCTACATAAAACAAAGTCAGTGTTTCAATGGCCAGGTTAAAATAGGTGTAGCCTGTTGAAATGGAGCAAGGTGATCTTAGCTGTCAAATGTAAATAGGATCAACTTGAGAAGCACATTTGAAAGAGAATTCATGTTCATTACAAAAAAAAAATAGTGCTGTGAAATCTACAAAGAGGAAACAGACTATCTCCCTATCTATCTATCTATCTGTCTAGATGTAATTAACACTGTTGAATAACTGACTGCAGGGCAGGCACAAATCACAAATTTAAGTTGGAGTGGACCTAACCCTTCTACATAAATTCCGATAAAATTTCTAATCATCTGTTTAAAATTCTGCAAACATCACTACTCTAGACATCCTGACCCCCGTTGTGGTGACATTCCTCTATGCCCTTCTTCAGAGTTGGTGGCGGGGAGAGACAGTACCCAAAACACAACCCACAGAAGATGGTTCAAGTAGTTCTGGACGACACGATAGCGGCCATACCTCCTCAGCCCCCGTCAGCCTCAGGAAGCCATCTCCCCGGAAAACTCTGCACCAAGGTTCCGGAATATAAATGGCCCTCAGTCAAAGAGAAAAAACGGGCGGAGTAGAGGCAAACAGAGGCCAGAATTCGGTGTGAGAGGCCGGCCAGCGATGGGAAGGGGCACCAGAGGAAGGTTTAGAAGGCCATGGGAGCAGCCGTCCCCCAGACCGCGCTTCTAGAATCTTAAGAGAACGGAAAGGATGCCATCAAAGGCTGAAAAAGTTGACAGCCACTCCAGATCTATGGTCCTGAGCGCTCCCTGCACAAGGTCCCCTCCAGTTTTCTGCTGCTCCCAACATCTGCCTCCACGACCGACCTCAGGCCCGCCCCCTTGGTCTTCAGGCCCGCTCCTAGCTTCACATCCGAAAGCCGCCGTCAATCCAAGGAGAACAAGTCTCTGGCTTGCCTCTCCAGCTCCCAGGCCCCCAGGAAATACTCACTTGCCCGCCAGATCTTTATGAGAGCCGCTCGAATTCATGAGCTGGGCCAAATCCTGTCGCACGGCTGCCGCCATCTTTCTCCCAGCTCGGCGGAGGCTGCTGGGCCTCTCGCGGCCGAAAGAAACCGAGTGTAGTCCTCCAGAGTGCGGCTAGAGGGACCCCGAGATGCCACAGAGTAGCGCCTGTGTAGGCCAGAACGCCGAGTGTGGGCGCCTGAGTTAGGCCCGCCCCCAGGGTTGATTGACGCGAAGCTCCACTCCTAAATCCTAGGCCCGCCCGGGCTTCTCTTACAGGCTCGGGCTCACGCGCTCCCACTTTGGATTGGCGGATGAACTCCAAGGGACTGTGTCGCTTGTGCAACCCCAGTAAGTGCCCGATTCGCAAAACTTCGGGGTTTTCGTCAAGTTCCGTGTCTCCTGTCTGTAGTTTACCATCCCTTGTTCTTTAAGGCTGCACTTTAACTACCCGTAGTAAAGAACGAGTTATTTTTGTTTACAATTCACCACAGACGGGTACTTTTATAAACTACAGTAAAAAATGTCCCCGTTCCCTTCCCACTCTGCGTCTGTATATAGATTGATCATACATCCCAGTTTGTCTAGGACAGTGCCATTTTCCATCTGTCGTCCTGGAGTAATTGTTAATAACATGCCCTTTGACTCTGGAAACTGTTCCATTTGGATGACAAATTATATGATCGCCTTACCCTGATCCGTAATTGTATTTATGTATTTATATAGGAGTGCAAATTTCTACAGCCTTACCTACAAAGGATGTTAAACTTTTGAATTTTTGCCGCTTTATATGTGAAAAAGAACATGTTCTCTGGGGAAGGGGAAAGAAAAAAGAAGTCTAAAACAAGGAAATCCTTTGAGAAAGTAATGTGGCGATTTGTTGTCTTTATTGTTCTTGTTCCGTCGCTAAGTCGTGTCCAAATCTTTACGACCCCATGGGCTGCAGCAAGCCAGGCTTTCCTGTCCTTCACTATCAGTTCAAATGTCCCTCCATAGTTAAAAACTTAGTGAGATCTCCATGCCTGGCAACTGTGAGTCTGGATATTTAGTTTCCTTTTGCCTGGGTCAAAGGAAAGGATGGTTTTGAAGAGTCAACCAGCAGTCTCCACTGCCATTTGTCCCTCTGATCATGATACATTATCTGTGTGTATCCTTCTTACAGTGGGACACGCAACCCTAAAGAAGAGAGTTCAAGTTCCCGCTCAGTTTCAGTATCAGCTTAAAATCCAGGATGTCTGATAATGTACAACCCTCTCCAAAAGTTTGGATGTAATTGTTCATGGCCCAAACATATATACACTATAGAACAAATTATCTGCCTTAGGCCCAAATATGTAATACTAAACAATAGAGGAGCAAGGGCAGAAGGAACAGGATAACTACAGTTCCAAAAAACTAAGAGTGGGAAACACACTAGTTACTTGTCCACAGCAATGGTAGAATCCTGCCCAGGAATTATGAACACCCACTACAGTTGTTACACCTGCATGGTGGTCAGACACCATGGTTAGTACTGCATTTTAAGAGGATAATTACATTGTTCATTGTATTTAGTGGACTCCAGCTTTGCCTTCTAAATACAAATTAACTGGATGTTGGAGGGTATTCCCTCTCTAGGGGAACACTTTAGGACTTGAACAGTTGAGGGCATTTGTAGACCAGGTTTTTCAGTGGGATTTTTTTTTTTACATAATTTCATGGAATATTCAGTAAACTCTGCTTCCTTTACAGACAGTTTCAGGTGCCAATAAACATACTCAAAGTTGTTTTTGAAGTGAAGTGTTGATTGCTCAGTCATGTTCAGCTCTTTGCAATCCCATAGACTGTAGCCCACCAGACTCCTCTGTTCTCTTCTCCAGGCAAGAACACTGGAGTGGGTTGCCATTTCCTCCTCCAGGGGATCTTCCTGACTCAGGGATTGAACCCAGGTCTCTTGCATTGTAGGCAAATTCTTTAATGTCTGAGCTACCAGGGAAGCTCCTAAAGTTTTTTTTTTTTAAGTAGTCATTAAATCTGCCCTATATTCTGACTTCCATATGCAACCCATTCTTAACATCTTAATGATGGCATCCTTGAAATCATCTGAAAGAATAAGCTTAAGTGAGAAGAGAACTCTATTAGTTTGATTTTTGCGTCAGTGCATCTTTCCTTTCTGTTGTTTTTTATTTATGTGTCTCTTGTGTTTTATTTATGTTTGCCAAACAAAAAATCACATTGGGCTCTGAGAAATCTCTAAGCCAAGTTTTCTCTCCTGTAATTTAGGGTTACACAAGCTGTTGACTTTTTCAATTTAGTGAAGTTCCAGAATTTCCAGACATTCTGTTCTCTGTCTAGCCTGACTTCAAGCTTTACATGTAGTACCTTATGCGTGTGTCCTCAGTTACCCCTGACTCTTTGCGGCCCCATGGGCTGTAGCTCTCCAGGTTCCTCTGCCCGTGGAATTTTCCAGGCAAGAAATACTGGAGTGGGGTGCCATTTACTATTCTAGGGGATCTTGGTAACCCAGTGATTGAACTTGAATCTCCTGTCTCCTGCACTGGCAGGCAGATTCTTTCCCACTAGCGCCACCTGGGAAACTCTTGTAATACCTTGCTGAAGAGTAAAAGCAGCAGCCACATACATCAAGTGGCTCTTTTCAAGATATCTCCACTAGACCTACAAGCTAGAGAGGGAGGTTCTCTGCCTTTCTAGTTATTGTAGGCAGCAGTTTTACTAAAACTTTTTGATGTGACAAAGCCTCCCTTTTCCACACTATTATGCATGCTCAACTTCTAAGAGAATACTACAGTTTTAGGTTTGGTTTGATAGCAGTGAGAAGAACAAACCTGGATGGCACTGAGAACTTTTTCCCTCCCCCATTTCAGCTGCTTAACAGGAATCTAGCTGGGCAACTCTGAGTTATGGGAAGTGCACAAATCCTAGTTCTTTTAGCTAGGTCAAACCTTAGGTCCCAGTCCCAACTTAAAGTGAGTGAAGTCGCTCAGTCGTGTCCGACTCTTTGCGACCCCATGGACTAATGTAGCCCACCAGGCTCCTCCATCCATGGGATTCTCCAGGCAAGAATACTGGAGTGGGTTACCATTTCCTTCTCCAGGGGATCTTCCCGACCCAGGGATCGAACCCAGGTCTCCCGCATTGCAGGCAGACGCTTTAACCTCTGAGCCACCAGGGAAGCTAAGTCAAAATTGTCATGTTGACAAAATTCCTCTAGTAATTGTTGCACATTAAATTTGAGTAGCACCTTTAGCAGATGTCACCACTAGTGGACCTCTTCTCATTAAACCCTCATTTAATAAGGCCATTTCCCTGGTCAGACATCTCCTGTTTTCACATAATCAGCTCTTAATAGATGGTCTCTTCCTCCTTACAGTTCCCCTACAGATGTGAAAAGAAGGCTATCCTAGGGTCCTTTTCCTAGCACATCTTCCACTCTTCGTCTTGTGTGCCCAGCTCAAATATGCCTTGCTGTAGAAGTAATAATAATAATTTTTTAAAAAAGAATAGATGAGTATATATGTTCTGCTGTTTTCTGAGCACTAGTTCCTACTCTGAATCTGTTCCAGAAGTTCTTGGTGCTATTATCAATATTGTTCTAGAGTCACCTTGTGTTTCCCAGACTAGTCCCTGAATCAGCCATTTCTTGAAGAAGGCCCTGTTCCTTTTTTTTTTTTTAATCTTTTATTATTTTTTTTGTCAACCATGTAAGCATTATTAGTTTTTAACTTTTTATTGATATATAGTTGATTTACAATGTTTCAGTTGTTGTTCAGTCACTAAGTCATGTCCCACTCTTTTGTGACCCCATCAACTGTAGACTACTAGGTTCCTCTGTCCATGGGACTTTCCAGGCAAGAATACTGGAGTGGGTTGCCATTTCCTTCTCCATTTTTAATCTTTTAAAAATTTTATTTTTATTTTTTTTAACACCAAAACTATTTTGTATTGGGGTATGGCCGACTAACAATGTTGTGATAGTTTCAGGTGAACAGCCTTTTATGTTTGAAAGTCAATTTTCTTAGCTATAATCAACCTTGGCTCACTTTTCTTTAGACTGTTAAGTGTGATACTCTATTTTCCTGGGGAATAAAGCATTGCTGAAAAATACCTCATGAGAGTCTAATATTCTTTTCTTGTAAATGACCTACATTTTTTTTTTTACCTAGATGTCCCCCAATTTATTTTCCTTTCACATTAAGTAATTTTAGTAGACTATGTGTTGTTGTTGATCATTCTGGGTCATTCTCAGGCACACTGTGCTCTTTTAATACATAGTTTCAATTTTTTTTCAACATCATTGTCTTTCATTATAATTTCTTGTACTTGCTGTATTCCTTTGGTATCTTTCTTCAGAAACTACTATATCTATATGTTAAATCTGAAGATCTACCTATCTTTAATACTAGTCACCTTTCCTCAAAATCTTTTTATTCTTCTTATTTTTTAAAATTTCCTCCTTTAAATAAATAAATAAATAAAAATTTCTCCTATTCACTCTCTCTGTCTCTTAAGGCATTATTTGTTATTTTAATTTACTCCTGGTTTCCTTGTAGTCTAGTCTTCATTTCAATTTTTTTTCCTAATTTTTATTAGAAAAATTTTTATTTCTAATTCTTTCTCGAGTTCCACCACTCATTCTGGGTGTTTCTAATTTTATGACGTTATCCCATCATGTCCTCTATTGTTTTCTTTTCAATTTCACTCATGAAAAAAGTGTATGAAGGCTTAAAAAAAAGTACCATCTTCTTTTCAGTTTGACTGCTGATTACCTTCCCCAGCATGAGTTTGAGCAAGCTCTGGGAGTTGGTAGAGGACAGGGAAGCCTGGTGTGCTGCAGTCCATGGGTTTGCCAAGAGTTGGACATGACTGAGCGACTGAACTAAACTTAAATACCTTCCCTCTTCTGACGGTCACTATCAAACACTTTTTCTTCAGTAATATATGAGAATATGTTTTCATATTTCCTTCCTTTTAGATACTTTAGTACCCCCTTGCCTCTTTGTGGTGGTGGTGTACTCAGTCATATCCGACTCTTATGACCCCATGGACAGTAGTCTACCAGG